GCGCCAAGGTGCGCCAGCCCTCCCGCGAGTGTCTGGGTAGGCCCTGGCACTTCAGCCGGAGGGGTCTCACCGGTGCCGGTTCCCTGCCATTCACAAGCTGCATGGCCCTGGCCGGCAGCGCGCAAATCCGGGGAGCCGTGCCGTTTGCCCCAGGCACGGGGGTCCGGGACTGTAACTTCTGCAAGGGAGCGGCGGCGAGGGCCAGGCAGATCTGAATGAGACCCATGAGCTGAGACGCGCCTGTCCATGGCAGCGGTAGGGCCGGCCTATTGCCTCTGCAGCTGCCACAGTGCTTGGTAGCAGACCGCAAAGGGCTGATCCACGTCCAGTCCCGGTTCCACAGAGCCACAAGCCAGCACCATGCCCAGAGTCCCGGCCCGTGGTATATTGTGCTAACCAATAGGCAACACTCCCTTCCTGCTCAAATAGTTGCAGTTCCTGGCACTAACATCACGGGTCCCATGATTAATATGGGACCCCCAGCCTCCAGCCAGTCACCCCCATCAACCGGCAGCACTGGCCCTGTTTTATCTGAGGTGGCCTCTGGCTGGCTGGTTAACGGCTATACAGAGCGACGGCCCAAAGCAGTTCTTCGCCCTCGGAACGGGCCGTCACACTTCTCTTGCCGGCCCCAGTCGTCCCACCCCCCCGGCCACGCTCCTGTGCTGAACCCGTACGGCTGGATTCCTGCCCAGGACAGGGTGGGGGCAGCTCTCTCCATATTGCACTGGAGCTAGTCCGGGGCTTTTGCTCAGGGCTGGTTCAGCAAATCCACGGGGCTTCCCACGGGGAACACAAGACTGAAACTTCGCCTCCCGAGCGCCTTGTAGCTGGGATGGAAGCGGGGCCATCAGGAAGTCTGTATCAACTTGGCAGCGGCCGTCAAAAAGCAAACAGAGTGTTGTGAACATTAAAAAAGGGACAGAGAATCTCTTATTGTCTGTCTATACATCCATGGGGCACCCACAGCGTGAACACTGCGTACAGATGTGGTCACCTCATCTCAGAAAAGATCTCTTGGCATGGGGAAAGGTTCAGAAAAGGGCAACAGAAAGGATGAGGGGTTTGGGACGGGCACCACATGAAGAGAGAGTCAAAGCTTTTCAGCTTAGAAAAGAGGAGACCAGGCCCTGGTCTACACTAGGGAGTTATTTTGAAATTACTTCCCTTGTTTCGAAATAACAAGCGGAGCGTCCACACTACCAAGCCTGCTATTTCGCAATGAAGGGCTGGTTATTTCAAAAGAATAGCTCCTGCTTTCCAAGAGGAATAATGCTTATTTCAAAGGAGTTATTTCAGGAGTTGTTATTTCAAAATCAGTTATTTCAAAATGATTTCTTAGTGTAGACATGCCTTGAGGGGGGATATGGTAGGGGTCTATAAAATCATGCCAGGCGTGGAGAAAGTGAATAAGGAAAAGCTATTTACTTGTTCCCAGAACATAAGACCTAGGGGCAACCCAATGAAATGAATAGGCAGCAGGTTTAAAACTAAGAAAAGGAAGCTTTTCTTCACACAGCGCACAGTCAACCTGTGGAACTCCTTGCCAGAGGATGTTGTGAAGGCCGGGACTTTAACAGGGTTCAAAAAAGAGCTAGCTAAAGTCATGGAGGATGGGGCCATTGATAGCTACTAGCCAGGATGGGCAGGAATGGTGTCCCTAGCCTGTGTGTCAGAGGCTAGGAATGGGCGACAGGGGAGGGATCACGTGAGAATTCCCTGTACGTTCACTCCCTCTGGGGCATCTGGCATTGGCCACTAGCAGAAGACAGGACACTGGGCTAGAAGGACCTTTGGTCTGACCCAGTCTGGCCATTAGGTTCTTATGCTCTTAATGTTAGATAACTGGTAAAAAGAAAGGAAATTACAAGCCTCTCCCGCTCTCCTCGGGGGACTCGCAGGGTGCAGGGGTGTACGGGCGCCGTGCCGAGAGGAGTAAAGTGCTTCA